ATATCCGAAAGGTTCTTAATTCGGAGAGTCACCATCTATCTACTTCAGGCCGAGGAATTAGGTTCACGCCAAACTTTTGTTTCAAGATTTCCAACTCTTTCATTTCTGCAGCGCACCATCCAATCCTCCCGCCTATACCCAAATACTTAAGTGTTTTTCTAGATCTTGCAAAACTAGTTATAATTTTCAAATCTACATACTCAAATTTTCTAAAATCTATAATCAAAATTTTTAAAGGGGATTTGCATTCTCCCAACAAATTGTTTAGCTGAGCATTATTGAAACTGCATTGTAATTTTAGGTATTCTAAGCTTGCTGGTAACTCTCTTCCCGATATAGCCATACTTTCTCTATTCATATGTCTATGATGCATTGATATTGTAAGTTTTCTAATACGTTTGAGACCTCTAAATAAATTGCTTAGTAAAGAATTGTGTTGAGGAAGAAAATTGTTGAGTTGCAAGTTCATTATATTTGGGCAGTATGAAGTTGTGGCCTCTATAGTTTCGGCTGTTATTACATCAAAACTTAATTCTTGCAAGAATTCGCCTGCAGACCGAATTATTGTTGCAGGAATTAAAGGTGACCTGGGAGAATTTTTGAGATGCAATATTTTTAGATTAAACCTAATTCTATTCCATAAGTTTTCGTTACCAATGTTCTCGTCGATTGTCAGTCCTTGGCATCGTAAGATAGCCAGACTTTGAAGATTCTGGCAAAGGGAAAGATTTAACAATGTTGTGTTGGTAACGTTAACGTTTTCGAGTCTTATTGAAGTTAATGCGATCGATTGATGTAATGCTCCAATCATGTCCCTAGATTCCCCGCTTCTGATTCCTTCAAGACTAAACTCGGTGAGATAAGTTTGTGTTCGGATTAATTCTACGATTGCTTGTGTTACTTCGGGATTATTTTCAAAAAATGGAATCTTTATATTTAAACAACGAATGCCTCTGCAGACAGATGGAATCGATTCTAGAAGTCGAATGGTATTCTCCATAATAGGTCTTGTGTAATCGATCGAAAGACTTGAAATGTTTCGTAGCCCGGGCTGACCGGAAGCAAATATCGAGCAATCTGGGATGTCAGAATGCGCAAGAAATTTATCGATTATAAACGTTTTTAAATTTGTAGATTTCCTCAGAAATAGTCTACATAAGGCGGTTGATAACACGAGGATTTGTTCTTCCG